GTTTACCTACAGGTTATTCTGGAAAACATCAACTTAGACATAATATGTAACATACAAATCTTAAAAACACATTCCTAGACAATACGTAGATTTGGTTTCCTTAAACATTGTTTAGAACTTCAACTTTCATAAAAGGATGGATCACCATTTATTTTTCTTTATTCACTGACCTTATCTGTTCATGATATTAATAAGGTTACACTTATTTCATAAAATGAATTAGAGACCTCCCTCCCTTCCCTCCTTCACTTAAGTTTGTGTAAGATTTACCTCTGCCTTGGAGATTTGATGGAACATTAGGAAAACCATCTGGGACTGGAATATTTTGTTTGTTTTTACGGGTAAAATTTAAACCTAAAATTCCTTTAATGATTATAGATCTGTTCAGTTTTTATATTTCTTTTTTAAATTTAATTGTTGTTCAGGTACGTTTTTATATTTCTAAGATAACTTTGACAAGCTTGTTAATTGTGTTGTTCAAATATACTGCATCATCTAATCCAGTGGTCCTCCACCTTTCTGGCACCAGGAGGCAAAGCGGGGGTAGGGGGGGTGGGGAAAGAGGGGTAGCTCAGGTTAGCTTCACTTGCTCCCAGCCACTAATCTCCTGCTGTGGAGTGTGGAGGGAAGAGGACAGAGACAAAAGGGGAACTCAGAAAAGGTTCACTTGCAGCCTAGTTCCTAACAGGCCACAGATGAGACCCTTACTGTTGTGGCCCAAGGGTTGGGGACCCCTGACTAATCCCAAACTTCTTTATCCTAATAAAATTTTCCACTAACATTTGTAGAGTTGTTAATTTTATCCTTGTAATTTTGTCAAATTATACACATACACTCACACGTACATGTACACACAAACACTTTTTAAGTCTTACCTTCTTAGTGAATTGTTCTCTTTTTAATCAAAATTACCCTTTTTAGCCCTGCAAGTGTTTTTAGCTTTTAGTACATACATTTACCTTAACATCAATATTTTTATAACCTGCTTTGAGTATTTGCCTAGTATAACAGTTACCCCCTTATCATGGGAGATAGGTTCCAAGACCACCAACAAATGCCTGAAAACAACCGATCGTACCAAATTCTATACTGTTTTTCCTACACATATGTATCTATGACAAAGTTTATTTTATAAACTAGGCACAATAAAAAATTAATAATAAAAAACATCAGGCGCAGTGGTATAGAACAATTATAACAATTTACTATAATAAAAGTTATGTGAATTGAGCCCTGGCTGGGTGGCTCAGCTGGCTGAAGCTTCAACCATACACCAAAAGGTTGAGAATTTGATCCTTGCCCAGGGCACATACCTAGGTTGCATGTTCAATCCCTAGTGCAATCATATATGGGAGGCAGACCAACTGATGCTTCTTTTTCTCTAAAGAAGAGAAAAAGACCACACCTCCCCTCTAAAATCAGTAAACATATCCTTGGGTAAGGATTTAAAAAAAAATTTGAGTGAAGTGAATGTGGTCTCTCTTTCTCTCCAAAATCTTATTGTACTATACTCACCTTTAAACTTAAAGGTGGCACTTGATGCCTTCTTTTGGGCATATTTGTATTTGCAGCATCACTACTCTTACGCTTCAGGGCCGCTACTAAGTAATATATGGCTTACTTGAACACCAGCACTGTAATACTACAACAGTCAATCTGATAATCAAGACAACTATTAAGTGACTAATATGTGGGCAGTGCATCCAGAACTGATGCATTAGACAAAGGAATGATTCATGTTCTGAGAGAGACAACTGAAACAGCAAGACATTTCATACACTACTCAGAACAGCATGTAATTTAAAACCTATTATTTATTTCTACAATGTTTCTATTTGGTGTTTCTGGATCTATGTTGCATGCAGGGCAACTGAAACTGTAAAATCAAAGCCACGAATAAGGGGATTACTGTGTATGTTTTCCATGCTTTATAGTCTCTTTCTACTTTGATTTATTTTAGGTGTGACTTAAACATAGCATTTAAGTTTTTAAAAATATAATCATTTCTGTTACTTAAATGGTATGTTCTGTTCTGTTTATTGAGTTACTTCTACAGTCTTATTTTGTGCTTCCTATTTATTGTGTTTTTTCTTTGACACTTTTTTCTTGACTTTTCCTGCCTTTTCATTTTACTCCACAACTAATATAAAAATCTACTAGTAACCTTTTAGGGGTTCCCTTAAATTTTCCTTCTGTATCTTTTTTTTTAAGACTTTCCATGAAAAAGACCTAGCATATGCATACAAAGTTCTTCTGAATACTTAAACAACTATATATTACAGATATAATTTATTTTAGTTCATATCTGACACGGTTAGAATATCTACTCATACCTAGATTTTATTTGGATGGAAAATGGGCTACAGTAGTCACACATCTACATATAGAACAAATATCTGATTTCCTGATTTCAACTACAGTGTTTTATTAGTAAATTCTGATGCTTCCATGTTAGTATCTTATTATATATTCCTTTTATTAGATTTAAACATATTTCTTACAAACAAATAAAAAATCGCATCTTTTATGCATATAAATAGAAACAATGGTATGCAACAAAATGTACCAACACTTTCAACATTTAGTGTGGCTCACTGCAACATTTAAACTGGCACAGGAAGGACTTGCAGTCTCAAGATGGAGGCGCAGATAAATGTGAGGCAAGCAGTAGACTTGCCTCCTTGCACAACCTCAGCAAAATTACAACTAAACTACAGAACAACCATCACTCAGAACCATCAGAAGACTGAGCTGTATGGAAGTCTGATAACTAAGGAATTAAAGAAATCACATTCATCCAGATGGTTAGGAGGCACAGAGAGGTAGAGACGTGAAGACGCGGTACTGGCTGGCCCCAAACCCATGTGTGGCGGATATGAAATGGAGGGATATCTCAGGAGGTATCCAGACCCATATCAAACCACACAGCCCAGCGTTCAAGTGCCAGAAAGGTAAGTCCCCATAACTTTTGGCTGTAAAAACCAGTGGGTGTTGGGTCAGCAGAAGAAAGTGCAAGATGCCTTCTCCTCTTAAAGGGCCCCACACCACACAAAGACTTAGATTCAACACCTTCTGGGCTCCAGCATCAGGGCAGCAGCTTGAAAGATGCCAGTGGCATACAGGCAGGAACCAAAGTATCTGGCATCAGAGCAAGAGCTGGAGGACAACTTCTTCCCACACAGAATTGAAGACAGAGGCTAGTGTACTTTTTCTGAGCCCTCCGACACAGAACCACAGTATGATGGTACCATATCCGAATCTCCATCACCCTGGCTCACACAGTAAGCCCCGCCCCGATGATTACCCAAGCATCCACCCCAACCAACTTACAGGCCCACCTGATCTGGAAGCAGTAGGTTTTCCATACGAAGGGCTGAGCTAAGAACAGGCTTCAAACCTTCCTAAATCCACCCAAACAACAGCTTACCTCTGGCTGAGTGGTCCCAAGCCTGGCACTAGCAGGAACCATCTGTAGATAGCTTTATAGCTCATGCCAAGGGGCTCCACACAGAGCACAGGTGGAGGATGACCTTGGCTTGAACAACCCGGGAAACCCCAGAGCCTTCACATGCACTGGATGGTTACAGACTATGTCAGAGCACCACCCAACCAACTCCACAAGCCATGGAGGGAGGTAGATGCTGGCCAGGGCTCACAGCCAGTCCTACTAGCTCTCTGTACTACATAAATCTCTCCCATTGACCTGCTCAGGGAATACTCAGCCTAAATGGAGGGCGTACCTCTAATACATAGCTTGAGAGATAGGGGAGGCTGTACCACTGGACCCTACAGAACACCTACTACATTAGGCCACACCACCAAGACATGGAGTCAAGGAAGCTATGCCTAATACACAGAAACAAACACAGGGAGGCTGTCAAAAATGAGGACACAAAGAAATATGACCCAAATGAAAGAACAGAACAAAACCCCAGTAAAAACACTAAACAAAAATAGAGATAAGCAATGTATCGGATGCAGAGTTCAAAACGCTGGTTATAAGGATGCTGAAGGAACTTAGTGGGTACTTCAACAGCATAAAAAAGACCCAAGCAGGAATGAAGAATAAACTAACTGAAATAAAGAACAATTTACAGGGAATCAACAGTGGAGTGGATGAGGCCAACAATCAAATCAATGATTTGGAACATACTGAAGCAAAAGACATCCAATCCGCACAGCGAGAAGAAAAAAGAATCCAAAAAATCGAAACAGTGGAAGGAGCCTCTCAGACAAGTTCAAAGGCTCCAACATTTGTATCTTAGGGATGCCAGAAGGAGAAGAGAAAGCAAGAAATCAGAAACCTATTTGAAAAAATAATTAAAAAAACCCTTCCCTAATTTGGTGAAGTAAATAGACAAAAAAGTCCAAGAAGCAGAGAGAGTCCCAAACAAAATGGATATAAAGAGGACCACACCAAGATACACCATAATTAAAATGCCAAGAGTTAAAGATAAAAAGAGAATCTTAAAAGCAGCAAGAAAAAAGCAGATAGTTACCTACAAAGGAGTGCCCATAAGACTATCAGCTGATTTCTCAAAAGAAACCTTACTGGCAAGAAGGGGCTGGAAATAAGTAATTGAAGTCATGAAAGGCAAGGACCTATATCCAAGATTACTGTATCCAGCAAAGCTCTCATTTAGAATGAAAGGGCAGATAAAGAGCTTCCCAGACAAGAAAAAACTAAAGGAGTTCATCATCACAAAACCATTATTATATGAAATGTTAAAGGGACATATTTAAAAAAAATCAAAACTATGAACAATAAAATGGCAATAAATATCTATCAATAACTGAATCTAAAAAACAAAATAAACAAACAAGCAGGACAGAAACAGTATCATAGATATGGAGGACATTGGGATGGTGGCCAGTGGTAGGGCTGGTCTGGGGGAATGGGAGAAAAGGTAAAGGGATTAAGAAATACACATTGGTAGTTACATAATAGGCAGAGGGATGTTAAGAGTAAGTATAGGAAATGGAGTTACCAAAGAACTTACACACATTACCCATGGACATGAACAAAGGAGGATCGCTGGAGGAACTGTGGGGTGCTGGGTAAAGAGGAGCAAAGAGGGAAAAATTGGGACAACTGTAATAGCATGTAGTCAATAAAAAATAAAATAAAATAAAATTGGGACAGGAACTTCTAGATGATTGGCATGTGACATTCACCCCTCAGGTCCCTCAAAAGCACCATGGAGAATGTTAGCTGAGAAGGTGGTGGTCCTGACCTTCTCAGGACCAAGACGTATAAAACTGTAAGTTATATAATTTTTAATATATAAAAGTTATATATAAAGTTATATAAAACTATATTAAAAAGTTATATAATTTTTAATATATAACTTACTAGTAAGTTAAATCTTGACATTAAAAGAACATGGTATCTCTTTAGCAGCTGCTCTAATAATTACTCTGAGAGGCAGAAAATTAGGTACACTACAAAGACCTGACCAAACACTGAGAGTGAAGGTAGTCTTCAAAGGTAATGTAACCATTCTGGGATATCCTAAACAGGGCATGCTAAACAACACAGAGAATCCTCTCTGCTTCTACTAATCAGGATTTCCAAAGTTATCTAGCCAAGATTTAGGAAATTACTATTATTACTAAGAAAGACAGACTATTTTATTGGGAACAACACTACAAAGAACAACTTTATGGAGTCATGTGGCCCTCTGGAGTGTGTGGAGGAAAAATGGAGCTAAATGTAAGTGCAGTAGTAACTAACTCCCTTTTACTGACTTCAAATAGGCATTACTTTTTCATCAACAAATATACACAGAAGTACATCCCTATCATTAAAAAAATTTTAATAAATATATGACAAAAATTAAAATATCTCTAAAATATTTGATTTGATCCTACTTTTAAATAATAATTGATAAAGCTATTAATTAGCATCAAAAACTCTAAAACCCCTTCAAATCCAAAATCCATATAACTGACAGCCTCAAACATCCCTTTTGTTCTATAAGAGATCTGAAATGATAATCAGGAAGTTATGGTTCCTAACAGGGAACATAATAAAACCTAAATAACCTTAAAATGTTAAACTATTATTGAAAAATAACTGTCTTCTGCTAACACAATACTCCTTAATGGATAATGTTACTCTCAATTACTTGGTTTTAAAATGTTCACCTTCACCATGAGTAGAAACTCATCAATTTTAATCAGTCATATTTATATCATGATTATGAAATCTATTATTTTAAGGTAATAGTGATTAAAATTTTTACTAAAATATAATTTTTTGGATGAGTATAGCTATACAAAATAACATACAACTAGATTTGGAAACCCCACATAGTATTTATAAATCACTTATATATAAATAAATTTGGAATTTAAACCTTTATCTTGATGACTGTTAGTTGTCCCCAGGTACTGTAAATCAGAATCCACACTTCCAGTTTTACCATGTATCTGTGAAAATCCAAGCTGTCCACATTTCCCAGAAAGATTTGTCTGATGCGTTCCAGCAGTGCCTTTGGAAGGAAGGAGAAAAACATACTGAAAAATGTAGATAAAAGCAGTTTCTTCCTACATGCTCCCTTCTCTTACAATGTAATGTTCCTTCAGACATGGCTTTTTTTCTCCCTAGTATTTGCAGTAGACATTCTACCCTAAAAAATCTACTGCAGAACTCTCCTACCTTCTTTCCTATCATAGTTGCCAAGCTTGTCTAAGTATATGAAGTCTGTCCGGAAAGTATCCAGCCATGTACTATGAAAAAGAAACATTTATTGAAGAGACAAGAAACACTGTACATAGGAGAATGACTCCTCAGTCCCCTTCAAAATAGGCACTTTGAGACCTCACACAGTTCTCCCAGCATCTTCCACTGTTCAAAACACTGCAAAATCCTTTGTTGGAATCACCACCAGCTGTCCCATTCTATTTTCCTGAATCTCATCAATGGTCTGAAACCTTTTCTCTTTCAAAGGTGAATTTGGTTTTGGGAAAATCCAGAAGTGGCACGGATCCAAATATGGTTCATTGGTAGGGGTCTGAATCAAGTCAGAAACTGCAGCACGACATTCCTTCTGCTCTGGCAATAGAAGCCAGGAATGAATTTTGCCACAAAATTTTTCATGCCAAGATCCTGCATCAAAATTTCAAACACCAAAGTTTTTGGTATCCCCAGATTAGCTTCTAGTTCTTGCACTGTTAGTTGCCAATCTCTGTTGATTGCAGCCTGTACATGTTCAACATTCTCAGGTGTTCTGCTTGTGGCAGGCCTTTCAGAACGTGCATCACTTTCAACAGATACTTGACCACCCTTGAAGTGTCTGCGCCACACTTTTATTTGTGAACTTACTTCATCATCCCCAAAAGACTTCTGAATCATCCGAACAGTTTCCATGGAGTAATGTTCACGCTTAAAGCAAAATCTGATGCAGATTCATTGCTCTACTGGCTAAGTCTTTTTGAATGTGACAGCCACACAATACATGTGCTCACTCAAGATATCTACCACACCCCCTGACCACTACAAGTTGTCATTGTTCACACACACGCATTCTACTCCACTCTCCTTGGCTGCCAGGTTACATCGATGTGGTGCAAACCATTCTCATTACATTAACAATGGCTGGACTTTTTCCGGACAGACTTTGTAATTCCCAGATTGCTTTCCCTCTCCTGTGACTGGTTCAGGTTAATCCTGGGCAGGGGAATAAGTCAGAATTAAAGGAGGTAATAATGATTGCTCTGGCATGCATTTATTCATATATAAAATGAGCTGATCCCTTGTAGTTCTAAAACTATGATTTTAAAAATTCTCTTCTTATAATTTCAAGCTCCTTTATCCTTCATGTACTGGACATATTTTAAGTTAATTCTCATCCTCATGCTTTGGTTAATCTCCCTACCTTCTACAGTCTCTCTCACCACAATATCACAAACCTTTCTCCTCTTTAAAGTCCAGCTCAAGTACATGCTCTTTCTTGGAGTTTTTATGAAGTCACTTCAATACCTATGATCATTTGCTTTCTTGAATCCCATATAATTTGTATCATCCAATCCAGCTTTAGGTTATATGTTGTCTTATCATGAGTTATTGAAAATCTATCTTACTAGGGAAGAATTTCTCAATGGCACAGAAAGCATGAACCTTATAAAAAGTCCAAAGTAATGGTACAAGCATAACTGGATATCTTTTTGCATTTTTTCTCTATTAAATTATACAATCATCACACTTCCTTTTTATATGAAAATACTATGGAATATTAGTGCATAAAGATCTATAAATTCTCTTAGGGTAAAAGTGGTTTCTAAATATTGTGTCCAAACTCACAGCCAACAAATTTCAGTGACTGATAACATTTGGATAATAAATAAATGTTAACATCTATGAGAAACTCATCTTATAAACCATTTTCCCTTTCCAACTGGTTCATTCTATTAATACATTATTGTTTTTCTAATTAGCTGGGTGCTAAGTCTTGATATCTTTCCCTACTACCCTTCTTTATCTTCTATGTCCGGCCATCATATTTTCCTGATTATTCTTTTCTATACCATTTGTAAACAACCTTATAACCCTGGCTTTTTTCCTTAACATCAACAACAAAAAAATCTCCATTAGCTCCCTATAGCTTTTAAGTATTTGCTCAAATCTCTAAGCCTAGCCACAGGGGTCCCCATACCAAATTTATCTTTGACCATCTAAAATGAATCTCGCCTTTCTATAGCTCCCAGAATATCTCAAGCCTATTCCTACTGTAAGCCTTTGCTCTTCTCATACTTCCCATCTAACTACTTATTTCACATACATCCCAGAACAATGCAATTCAAGTACTATCTCCTCTTAATGCCTTTTCTATGACCATGTCCTCTGAGATGGTCATAGAAACATTTACTTTCTGTAACACTTTATTGGACAATTAAACATCTTTATAGTCAGTCTGGCCAAAAAAAACCTTATGGCACTCCTGACTTTCTCTCTTGCACACCCACATTCCACACCTAATCCATTAACAAATCTTGTCAACTCTACCTTTGACATATAATCAGAATCTAATCACTTTCACTACATTCACTGCTACCCTGGTCAAAGCCTCCATGAACTGTAGCCTGGATTCCTACAACAAACTCTGTTTTTGACCTTGCCCACCTTAAATCTACTTTAAATGCAATGTCAAAAAAAAAAAAAGCCTGGAAAACACAGGCATCTAATGTTACTTTTTCCCTCAAAATGTTCTTCACGCAGAGTAAAAGCCAAAGTTCATTCAATAGCCCACTAGGTCTTACAAATAAGAACCCCCTAATATTTCTAGAATCATTTTCTACTTGTCTTTTCTTTACTTATTCATTCCAGACTTACTTACCAGCCCCTTTGATCTTTCTCAAACAGATTCCATACTCTCCACTTACTCTTCCCTCTTCCTGGAATTATTTGCTCTTCTCTCTTGATATGTGTATGGTTTGCCTCAAGTATTCCTTTCTGAATATGGCCTCTTTTTTCACCACATTATTTAAAATAGCCCCTCCTCCATACCACTCTTCTCTGCATAATTTTTTCCATAGCATCTACCATTATCTAACTTAATATATTTTGCATTTACTTAATGTCTGCTTCACCCTAAACAGAATGCAAGATCCACAAGGCACAAAGTTTTCCCTTTTTGTTGACTGTTATATCCTAACTACTTGGTAAAGTACCCGAAATATAAGAGATACACGACATTATTGACTTACATTAGGATTTAAAGGGTTTCAGTGAGAAGCCCCTCTAGGGTCTTACAAGATAATTTATGTCAAAGTGCCCTTTATTACCAGATTTTTAACAAATACTTATTGAATCTGAATTGTCTGCTAGATTTTCCAGTTCTATGAGCCCTTGAATAAACTATAAAGTTTAGAAAAATCTTTTACTTAGTTCAACATGTCCATTACTTCCACCTATTACTTACCAGCAGCACATACAGGAAGTGAATCTGAGTTAAAATCCCGACTGTTTTGAAATAAATTTCTTGATACTCTTTTTCTGCTAAAACATAAATCATCACTGACTGGCATTCCTTGGGAGGGCTTTAATTTTGAAGATGGGATGAAATCATATGCTGAAAACTATACAAATAGAATAAGAAGTTAGCAAATTTGTGTTGTCTATAATAAATGAGATAATAATTTAGACCCAATTACAAAATTGACTAAAAGAAAATATTAAATTTATCAAATATACAATGATAGAAATAAATGTGCATATATAATATGGTACAATAACCGTATTTTTCATTGTATGGTAGAAAACCCATTTTTTTTTCCTTTCTTACTACTTCTCCCCAAATCTCTTCTGTATCTTACCTTCCTACAGTACACATCAGGCAGCTTAGAAAGAAAGAAGAGTAATAACAAAAGGAATGAAGTGGCACCTTGAATAGAGAAAATAACATTTTTGATTCAGCAACACAGACAGACCATCACACTATGCCCTCTGTGTTTCAGCATCAGACAATAAATGACACCTGGAAGTCACTCAACCAGCAACCATCCCATTCAACTACTATTACTGAGGCAAGTTTATTATTCATAATCTGCAGCCCAAATGTAAATGTATACATAGTCACAGTTCTCTTAAAATACAGAATGGGGCAAAAGTAGGTTAACAGTTTGTGAGTATGTGAAAGAGTTTATTCTTTAAAACACATTTTTTAAAAATTTGTTTTAGAAAGACGGCAAAAGGGAGGGAGGAGAGGAGAGGGTTGGGAAAGGGGCAGGAGGGAGGGAGGGAGTGAGGGAAAGAGGAAGAGAGTGAGAAATGTCAATTCTGTTGTTCCACTTATTTTATGTATTCCTTAGTTGATTTTTATACGTGCCCTGACCAGGACCAAACCAGCAACCTTGGTATATTGGGACAATGCTCTAACCAACTGAGCTACACAGCCAGGGCTACAGAGTTTTTATTCTTGTATTATTATTTTTGTACGAACAACTGTAAACCTACTTTTGCCCCACCCTATATTTTCTTATGATAGGCATTTTAGTTAAAACAATGTATATAACACTTCATATATGTTTTGTACTTTATAGTTTCCAATTCCTTTTTCACATACTCCCTTTGATCCTTGTGGTACAAAAGTGCCAGGATAGAATTTTGGAGTTCTGCCTAATCATAGTTAAAGAACTAAATGAGAGCATGATTCAAATGTTCAGAATTCTTCACCAATGACAACTTCTATTGTTCTGGATCACTTCACATTCAGCAAGGCTATAAAGTATTTTAAAAATGGAATGAACAGACTAGAAATTATACTTACTGTCTATGTATTTATTTGAAGTATTCAGACACAAAATTTAATCAAATCTAGACATGTGGTGAACTATAAGCCTTCTCAATAACGCCTCTTCACAAACATTGACAATTATCAAGTACCATTAAAATACAATGAAATTAAAGCAAGGTCTGTTTGAAAACTTTTTAGCTACTTGTCAACTAAAAGAGAAGTTTATAAACTACTAAATATACCTTAGGGAACTTGTTACTCCTCATCAAATTTTGTGAAAAACCTATTAACTCCTTAAAAAAATTAACCCAGAAAATACTGAGAAAAAAATATAATAAAAAATAAAAAGAATGCCTCAGAACAAAAGGCCTGACTTTATCAAAACATATTACAGTTTCTATGATTAATTATATAATAATCAGTAATAAAAAGACAATGAAATAAAAAGAAAACCAATTATAGTCAATTTTTGATCAGTTACATTTAAAGATACACCCAGTAGAAATAGTAATCCTGAAAAAATTCTCCAGTATGGGATATATTTTACATCATATTTACTCTAATTACTTTCTGCTCAGGCAACAAAATATTTGTATGTATACGCCAGATACAACAACTAGTGGCGGTGATGGTGATAAAGGGGGCAGTGGTAGAAGTGTGTGTGAGTACAGAATTTTCATGAATCTAGGCGAAGTCAGTTAGGGATTAAACTTTGCTACAGAAAATTCTGCAAATAGTTAAAAGCAGACTATAGGACATACTATTATTAACATGACAGTTCCTTTTTGGTCTCATTTAAAATTAGTCAAATGATTTTTCATCAGGATAAGCTTTGATGGAGCTAAACAATGAATACAGGGAAAGGGAAATGAGTGTAAAAGAGGAAAGTACAGACACAGTTATAAGCTAAATTTACAAAATGTGAAGCAGTCTGTTTAGAGCACCTTAGGCACATGGCACTGAGTTTTTGGTCTTTGAAGATAATATCTAAAATTTTAATTTGTTTGATTCCTTAGAGTTAATGGTAAATGAAAACATCAAAAAAGGCAAGTTTCACATTTAATATTAACAAGGACTTCAAATTCACAGTCTTACCTACTATTTTAATCATGCACTTGATTCCTTATATGTTTTCATAAAAGATTCTCTGTCCTAATAATGCTTTATATTTATAATGTTTTATATCACTAAAAAACAAAAACATTATAGAAGTGAGATACAAAGTGAAATTCTTCTTTGGTACCACTTCACTAAAATCCTATTGATAAACTCTAGTAACTCATCCTTTTCTATATGTAAACATTCTTCAGTAAGCTATTTTAAAACTAAAAATAAGTCACATACTACACTGGCATCTAGTAAGTCCTCAGCATATTATAGATAGCCTTCCATGTTAATCCATACATATCTGCTTATTCTTTATAATGGTTGTCTAATATTCCACATTATGGTTGGACTCATGTTCCCTACCAATGGACATTTTTTGTCACAACTTTTCACTATTACAATCTTGTAGTCAACATTGTTATGCACATTTCCTTGTGTATCATTAACATTTCTGTAGAACGAAACATTAAAAATGAAATTGTTAGGTCTAATGATATAAACTATTTTTAAAGGCCTCATAGTAGTCTTCTGACTAGATATGCCATTCTCCTATTATGGGATACTTACTTGGGTTACTTCCAATATTTTTTTATATTGTGATAAGGAAGGAATGTCAGTGAGGGAAATGGTACATACCTGGCTTAAGATAGTGCTGATTGAAGGAGACTGACAGACTTTGGAAAGGTTGTCACATATATTTCACAGCTAAAAAATGTTTTTAAAAGCACTCAAAATGTTTTCTTTGCTGTCCTTAGGTATCCTACACAAGGGTAAAATACCCAGACAGAACTCTGTATCTATTAGCTAACCAGTACCAATAAAGTGTACAAACAAGACTTACTACTATGTCCAGTCTACAATATATATATTTTTTCTTTCTGATTTCTGGTTTTTCCTTGATTTAGCCAATTAGCTGACTCTCTTACATGAAAGAAAACAAACTGCAAAATAACAAACCAAAAGCTTCTGACTTCTTGATTGTTTATTTATGGGGGTTTCACTAATACATTGTCCTTCTGGGTCTTAACATGAGAATCAAACACATGGCCTGAAAGTGTACCTTTTCTGAGACTTGGATCCTTTCCTGAACAATCTGACTCTTACACAGTCAATGTGATTCTGGGCAAAGCCTGCTCCTGGTTCTGATTTTGACTGAGCACATGCACAATAGTTTCCACACAGATGGCAGCAGTGGTGGAAATGGGTTTTGATTTTGTCTGTTTTGTGATTTCTGCTGGATGACAGTACCCTGCTCAGCTGGCAGCTGATAGGGAATCTGGAATCTTGTTTCCTTAGTGCTGTGTTCTGTTTATGTTTGTTTTTAAATGTACTGATCTGAACTCCTTTATGCTAATAACGAGAGATTACTCTCTCCATTCAAAACTTCTGTTTTTTTTCATGTTTACTTATTATGGACCTAATACCTATAAATACCTATAAAAATCAAATACCAATACCAAAGATGAAAGAAAATACTATCCATAACATTCAAAAGTCAGCTTTCTTCAACTTCTCTAAATGAATAACTGCAAATTTACTTTAGAATCCTAAAGCTAAAGATCGTAAAGAAACCTATTTAATTATAAGTTAGACAAACCAAGAAAAATGATGGTTTTCAAAAGCCAAACAAAACAATATTTAATAGTTTTCCAAACCTTAAGCAAATTGTCTTTTAGAAGGTAAGTAAATTCAATGCCATTATTGTAGACATGGGCATTGAAACACAAAACAGAAAAAGGATGCCTCTCCAAATTCCTGGGAATCACAATTCTCAATCTATTAGTTATCTATTGCTGTGTAATAAATTATCCCAAAATATAATGGCTTAAAACAACAAATATCTTCCTGTGGACCAGTAAGTAGCTTAACTGCATGGTTCAGATTTCTCTGGAGCTACCACCAAGATTTAGCTAGGCTGCTATCAACTGAAGGACCGCTGACATTCACTCAGGTGGCTACTATCAGGAAGCCTCAGTTCCTTGCCATTTAGGCCTCGCCAGAGGACTCACAACATGGCAGCTGGCTTCCTCACAGCAAGTTATCTGAGAAACAGAGCAACCAAGATGGAAGGCATGGTGCCTTTTTTTTTTCTTAAATCTATTTTATTGATTATGCTATTAAAGTTGTCCCATTTCCTCCCCTTCATTCCCCTCCTCCCTCCACACCCTTCTCCCACCCACATTCCCCCCCTTTAGTTCATATCCATGTGTCATTAAGTTCTTTAGCTTCTATGTTTCCCATACTATTCTTACCTTCCCCCCATTTTCTACCTACCATCTGTGCTATTTATTCTCTGTACCTTTTCCCCTTCTCTCCTCCTCCCACTCCTTTGTTGCTAACCCTCCATCTCATTTCCATTTCTGTTATTCTGTTCCTGTTCTAGTTGTTTGGTTTATTTTTGTTTTAGGTGTGGTTGTTAATAATTGTGAGTTTGCTGTCATTTTACTATACATGTTTTTTATCTTCTTTTTCTTAGATAAGTCCCTTTAACATTTCATAGAATAAGGGCTTGGTGATGATGAACTCCTTGAACTTGCCCTTATCTGAGAAGCACTTTATCTGCCCTTCCATTCTAAATGAAAGCTTTACTGGATTGAGCAATCTTGGATGTAGGCCCTTGCCTTTCGTGACTTGGAATACTTCTTTCCAGCCCCTTCTTGCCTGTAAGGTCTCTTTTGAAAAATCAGCTGACAGTCTGATGGGAACTCCTTTGTAGGTGACTGTCCCCTTATCTCT